ATTCGTTTCGTATTTTGTTAGGATGCGTATATTGTACGATGTAGAAGTACATGTATAAGCACACATAGGTTTAGTCATGTCTCTGTGTGTATATATGTGGATCTATGGATGATCTGCAAGTGTATAGATCGATAATAGAATTTCTGTTACTGTCGATTCAATCTTTTTCTCCATCTCCCTCTCCGCCCCACCCACCCACTTTTCTCTCCCTTCTACTCCCTTTACTCTTTTTACCTTTTCTCACACGTACTGTGCACGCGAGTATCTGCGTCTCACTCTCCCTTTCAGAAGCGATGCAGCTGGTATGCGTCACTTTTTTTTTTTTTTTTTGGATTGCTTAAATTGATACCCTGGAGGAGCCCGGCGTCCTTCGGCTCGGACGAGGAGGACCCAAGGAAACCGAGCAGGGTGGGCGGCGTCGGGCTCGCCGCAGCCTTTTCCTATTTCTTTGTTCCACCATATGTATATCATATATATGTGTGATGTGTATTGTACAGTATATGTTTTTGATGATTTACATCTCTACTTTTAGGTGATACTATGTCTAATTAATATCATTTAGCTATATAATTCACTCGGCTATATTGTATAATCACTTAATCGAGTGATCCATATATAAATAATCCAGGGAAGTCTGGGTTGTTATGGTGTCTAGTGGATTTTATAGCACTCGGATTAATATTCCAGGATGGTCCCAGAAATCCCGTACTCAAATTATTTTATCTAAGTGGGATTCTATAAATAAGTGTCTCACTAAAATTATAAAATATATGCCCTGAAAGGATGAGGAGTAACCTACATGATTTATACATACCATTTCACAATAGCGCAATCTGATTGGCGATACCCTCATATACATAACGCACACGAGTCAATACAACACACCACCACACCCGCAACCATCAGCAAGAAGGCCAGTGTAGATGTCTAGACATATTACTTACATATAAGTTATATCACAGTCTACATCATATAGGTAATACCCGCAGCTACCTAAATAGATATATGAATATTAACCTCAGCCCTCAAATTGTAAATATATATAATATAAGTCACTCCAGACGATATATATTTACATAATAGTAACAACAACTTACAACAACAACCACCACACACCAGCAACAATTAATACCATATATATACTTCGGGGTATATGAGGGTGAGATAATATCATAATATATATATATATACATATACTTGTTACTGTATATTATCTATTACTATTATATGTACTATATACACGGATATGAGCTAATAATAATATATAATATAGGTACTACTCTTTATCATGACAAATAGATAGCATGGTATACCTATGGGTGTATATTTATAAATTTGTATATATATGTATATTTATATATATATATATATTAGTAGAATTCCATCATCTTAATTCCTATATACACCCGTTTATTATTACTCAATATAATTATAAGTATATTATTAATTAGTCTCGTGCAGTGTGTGTATTTCTTGATACCCTTCCCTGCTCCCATTCTAGTTTCTTGAATATTTCCTCGAGGCAGGCTGTAAACAGCTGTTTGTAGAGAGATGGTGTCGCCCTGGAGTCTAACGCCTTTTTTAATTGGTATTTTATTCACGAATTTCTGTTGTGACGCGATTGATGGGTTGCCTGTCCCAATCTTTTATATATAGTCTAGTCCACAAATTATTATTTACAAGTGAGTAGCCTCATAACTACCTCCCTGTTGCGAGTGAAATATACACACCTAGCTTCAAGTTAATACTGGTCTCTGGCCTATTTGTACTGAGTTCAAATGCCATTATATATACTATCATTAATTAATTATATCTTCTAATCGATAATATCATTTGAGAGTTTATAGTAACCTTTACTTTATTATAATATAAACCATACCATAGTGGAGGCTTATACAGTATACATAGCATAAAGGGCATACATATAATAACTCATTATTATACCACTCACGGAAACATAAACATAGCTAAATTAGGTAGTATATCATTATAACTCTATCCCTGGATATATATGTATATAATTAATAAGTGTTAGTTGTGTATGTGTATGACTGCCACCACATACGCACTGGCCCACAACTCATAATATTCCCGTACTTGCATTTATTATCACCATATAGTGGTAAGTGCCTTACGGTTATGATGAATGAATAAAACACCTCAAGGATATCCATAATTAACTGAAAAAAGAGACATGATATAGAGGCGTCCCTCTCTATCACTGAATCCTTTGTGCTAAAGAACTTCTGGATGAGAGTATGAAAGTATCAATAATCTGCATTAGTAATTAACCGTGCGAAGTAATAGCAATTCTGAGTGGAACAGGAAAATAGAAGCCAATTAAATCTATTTTTTTGAGCTATACACAAATAAAACTAAATATAATAAACTCGAACCCAAGAAAATTAAAAGTAAAATAAAATCGAAGAATATCAATGGATGACGCAAGAACCAACATGCACGAGTGGAACCGAATGGACATTGAAGATAATATTTATGA